CATGGTCTACAATAATGAGATTGTAGGAAAAGGAAGAAATGAAGTTAATGAAACTAAAAATGTAAGTAATTTAGTGAATGCTAGCCTTTGAGCTACATATATAAATAGAAAGATCCTCAAGTTGGTATAAAGAATTGCCATTACTTAGGCTACGTTTAAAGCCTGTCTTTGGGAATGGCATAGCAAATTACTGTTTTTGAGTTTTTATGTTTTGTGTTCTTTTTTTCTAAAATTCTGGTGAAAAAATGCTGTGTTCTCCATAATCATGTCTGTCCAATTCTGGGAAACCACTTTATATTTTTCATATATTACGGTAGTCCTCCGGTTACATCCATTCATTCAGTGACTGTTCAAAGTTACAATGGCGCTGAATGAGGGGAACTCATGACCGGTCCTCAAATTTGCAGCTATCTCAGTGTCCTGTGGTCACGTGATCGCTATTTGCAGCCTTCCCTGCTGGCTTCTCACAAGCAAAGTCAATGGGGAAGCTGGCAGGAGATTGCAAGGCACTTCCACTCATGCCACTTTTTCTCCTGAGGAGCCCCCAGGTGGCAGGGGGATCTTGTACTCTGTAGCACTTACCCACACTTACACCTAGCCATTGCACCCGCCCACTCACCTATAGTTCTCACCCGCCAGCCTACTTGCAAGCTGCCCAAGAAGGAAAAGCTTGTTGTGACCGCGACTTGTAACTTCCTGCTGGGTTTCCCATTGACTTTGAGGACCCCCATTGAGGTCCTCACTTAACAACCAATGGTTCTTGCTTAACAACATCGACAGGGACTGCCAGGATTGCTGTCGCTAAGCAGTGCAGTCACATGACATCACGCTTTACGACTGCATCGCTTAGCAATTGAAATTCTGGTCACTATTACCATTGTACCTTGAGGACTATCTGCAATTTAAGAGGGTCATGATAACTTTTCTTTTTTGGAATAGACAATGTTTAGGGTTGATCTCTGAATGCTAGTGAGCATCAATTTTTACTATTTTTGTAGTGTGGGTTGTTTTCTTTTTCTTTAGTTTATTTAGAAATCCTTTAAAGTAATCTTATCAATCAGTGCAATCTTGTTCTGGGCAGTGCATTTTAGGAAGGACATTACCAAACTGATGTGTGTCCAGAGGAGATTATAAGGCCTCAAAGGAAAAAACCTATGAGGAATGGGTGGAGGCATTGGACATCTTTAGCCTGGAGAGCAGAAAACCGCAGGGAGGCATGACAGTGCTCTTCAAGTATATGAAGGGTTATCATGTAGAAGATGAGGAAGAATTTACCAAAGTTCCAGGCAATTACAAGAAATTTACAAAAAAATATTCCTAATGGGAAGAGCTGTTCAACAGTGGAACAGACTGCCTCAGGAGATAGTGGACTCTCCCTCTTTGAAGGTGTTTAAACAGAGGTTGGCTGGCTGTTGTTGGGGGTACTATAGTAATCGACCCCACACCTGACGGGCTGAACTAGATGACCTCTATTGACCCTTCCAATGCTTGAATTCTGTGATTCAGTCACGTTTGAATTAAAATATCTTTTCAAGCTAACAAAAATAGAACTGTGAAGTAGAACCAATAGAACAACCTACCTGTTACATATTCTTAGAGCAGCAGATGACTGGACAACAAGCACTGAAATACTGTAGGATATCTCTAAATTTATTTGTTTATTAATCAAATTTATATGGCTGCCCATCTCACAAAAAGTAACTAATAGAAATATGATACAGTTGATGATTACTAAGAGATGTTCAACTCAATACGTAGCATCAAGGATTTACTTATTGAAATAAGATGCCTGTAATTCTGTATCTTATAACTTAGATATTATGTATAGAATATAGATTTTGTATGTATACATATTTTTTGAAAAAAACAGTAATGTAAATGAGACTATTTAATTCATATTGGATAAATAGTGATTATTATTATTCAAATGTATAGGCCTATATGTTGTGTGTTAGAATTTAGACATAACAAATTTGACTTGGCTTTGTTTTACATTTGTCCTAGGGAGCTTTTCTGTAATAATGCAGTAAATTCTCTCTGAGCTGTTCTTTTGAACTGCCTGCTAGGCAGTGAACAAGTTTTGCCAGCATTTTCTTCCTATGTTCTTTTATTTATATATAATAATATTATATAATATGTTCTATTATTCCTATTTTCTTCCCTTGTCTATTTTTGTTTTTTCTTTCCTTTCTGCTTGATTCATATATGTATTTTTCTTCCTCAGGTGTAACTTTTCTCTGGTCTTCTAAGCCTCATTGCAAGCATACCTGTCAAATCAACTGTTCCCCCTTTAGTTTTGTTAGTACCACTTGGACAAGGTCAAGTTTTCAAAATGTAGTAGTATTTCACAATGTCTCAATTTCCAAATATGTTGGAATTTAATTCTCGCAAAGGATTATGGGAAGTGAAGTCTAGCAAGATCAAGAAAGACTGGTGAATATATTACAACAATATATATTGCATATATAATAAAGATCTCTGAGTGATTCACAATTTGAAATCAAAACTGAAACAATTCAAACAATAAAAGCTAGACTCTCACTATTTTATGATAAATAATATTAAAATGATTGAATTCTCTAGCTTAAAACTAAACTTAAGTGCTTCTGAATAAAACAGATTTCATTTGCCTTCTTAAAATCAAAAGATAGGATTCAGAGTAAACCTCTTGGCAGAGAGAAATACATCATTTGTGAGCTACTGTTAATCAGGCTATAGAAATATTTTCCAGATCAGAGCCAGTGAAGGAGTTCTGCAAGTTGCAGTCCAGTACATCTGGGAAATGTTAAACTATACATAACTTCCGTAATTCATGGTGGTACTATATGGATCCTCTGTCCAGTTGTTTTAGAAATTCTTGTTTCTTTATTTGCACTAGTCATTACTTGAATAAATATAGGAAGATCCCTTACACTGGATGATAGCAATTTTGCCCAGTGTTGTCCACTCTGGGTGGGAATTTTTCTCAACTCTGTTTGGGCACACTGAGGTTTGAACCCCAAGTATTATTATTGTGGCTCTTCCCAAAAAGACACTGTCCTATGGAACTCATTGTAGAAATGCAGTGGAGAAATAAACATGGCATGGATTTCACAAGAAGTTACTAATCTTCCAAAAGAGTGCACACACTTGGCCATTACTGGCTTATTCACCTTCATGGGACAGGAGGAGAACAAGAGATAAGTGTGCAATTTACCGGAAGTGATTAAATTATTTGCCTTGCAATGCCCTAGTTCTACAAGTGGCTCTGGAATAAATTTAGATTCTCATTTTACTTTACATTGATTTATTGAAACTTTAGAGTTTTGTTCTTGAACAGATATTGATCTACTAAAAGCTACTGACTTCACATCACTTGTTTTCTAGGATCAGCACAATAAGAACAATTGCCAAACATGGCTTGAATATATGTTTGTTACTGTTACGATGAAATATAACCCTACCCCAACCCCTTGAGAAGTCATCAGCATAACTGGAGATGCTGAAGACTTGGGTGCGCATGGCAATTCATTCATAACAATGGATTCTATCTAACTGATTTTATAAGGAGAGGATTTTAACAGGCCTTAATAAGAACTGAGAGCATTTTAACAGTCAGGAATTTTGCCAGCTCTCAGCTAGGGATTGTTGTTGTGCCCTAGAGTGTTTTATGGTATTTATGGCACCTGCTAAGCACAATCTCTTGAAGGACTATTCACATTAAAATTAATTCGTAAGATGTTATAACGTTAGATTATAGCTAAATGCATTCTCTTTGCTTCACATTCATTATCAATCACATACATTCAGTTCATTTTCTTGAGTAGCATACTTTCATCTACCCAATAATTAATTAGGCTGTTGTTTTCAATTTGTGCTTATAAATTTATAGCAAGAAGCATACCATGAAATGTATAAGCTGTTTAAAAAAACAATAAAGGAAGAGCCTTAAACATCTGGAATGTGCATGCTGTTCTAAATGAAGAGTATTTCCCGTTTTGTAACTAGACGTTTCCTTAAAATATTTAGGTTGGTGTTACAAATCACCCTTCTTAGAAAGTGATACACTGACCAAGTTATGCTTTGTGTGTGTGTGTGTGTGTGTGGTGATTTTTCCATGGGCAATGTTCTGCACATGAGCTCCCTTTCAGGTCTTTTGGAAGCTACAGGAAATTCTGAATGGAGCAATGAGATTGCTGAATAAGCATAAGCACAAAGATTATATTCTGCTAGTCTGAACAGGTGTACTAACTCTTAGTTGGTTACCAGGCACAGTTCAAAAAGGTGGCTTGTTTAAACACCTTGTTTCCTGAATGTCTTCAGGGCTCCCTTCGCCTGCGTGGATCTGTCCAAATACTACCATTATTTTAAGGACTTTTTCTAAGGGGCTTCCTGTCACTGGAGGTGAAGCTGCAGGCAGGAGAATAATTTTGCTTGCAGCCAATCATATCTTTGACCAAACAGCTGTTTTCCCCCTGTCCTCTCAGTCTTTACTTAAGAGGGATTCTTTTCAGTGTCTGTAACAATAATGTCTGAGGTATTTTAAATAATAATGTAGAGAAACTGATGAACATTACATTTATTAACAGGGAAGACTGGGAAACGATCAACTATTATCAAACTTGTTTCAAACACTGAAAGTCAGTAAAGTCAGTAAAGCAGAGACACAACTCCGTGCATTTGTTTTACTGATGATCTTTATTGTTTTCAAACTAAGTTTCTGTGGCTCTTACAGTCCTTTTTGTTCTGCTTTGTGATTGGCTTTTGGTATTGTTCCAGTAAAATGAAAGCAAAAGGCACTGGGTTAAAATAACAGCACATTAGCGTAGTGAAATAAGACCTCACCAGTATTGGTTGTCATTGACCTTCCCTGCCTTACAATGGCATTTTTGAGAATCCATTATAAAAGATCTGCAACCATTGCAACTATGGAGTAGGTGCTTTATGTAAATGTAAATATTGTGCCCTGTTCTGCTACTGTGACTTTTGTTTTTTTTAAATGAGGCCTGGATTCAGACAGGTTGCTTTGATAGTATAGAGATACTTATATGACAGCCAAGGGGATGTACTCCTTAGAGTTATAGACTAGAATTGGGGAGACCTACGTTGAAGTCCACCCTCAGTCACCGAAACTTCCTGGATGACTTGTGGCCAGTTGCTCTCTTTCAGTCCAAGAGCCAGTATGATGTACTTTCAAAGGCATTGGACTGGCACCAGTGAAACCAAGGTTAAATTTGCCCTCAGCTACAGAAGCTTCCTGGGTGATTGGGGCCAATTACCCTCTCTCAATCCAACCTTCCTCATAGGGCTATTGTGAGAAATAATTGGAGGAGAGAATGCTGTGTACAACACCTTGAGCTCCTGGAAGAAAGGCAGGATATAAATAATAAATGGTACAAATAATGAATAAATTGTAACAAATTTCCATTAAGGATCAAGATCATCTGTGCTATTTTGATTTATCTTGCTTATAAAGCAAATTCTAAAAGGCATTGAACTATGATCTCTTGATACAATACAGCAAGCATTCTCATGCATAGGAAAGTATTTCACTCCATGCATTAGTGAATTGTTTTAATTGCCTTAATCCAAACAGAATCTGGACTACCTCAAGCAAATTATTTTTCAGCTTTTAGGAACTATGGAAAGCATAGAAAATAGAATCACAGAGCTGAAGAGAACTAACCTTTCTCAACCAGTGCTGGCTTATAATACTGAGAATGCTGGTCTCCATGCATCTAGAGGGCACTAGATTGAGGAAACCTGTCTTAGACCATCTTGTCCAAGCGGTAGCTCCTATAATCTGCCTTTCCACCAAAAACAGTTATTTTTTTCCTTGTATGTGTGTTATATGCAAAGTAATCCATTCTGTGTGGCATTAGTGTTGATACTGTTTTGCTTTATTCTCACAGGCTACTCGCCATGCAGAAATGGTCGCAATTGATCAGGTCTTGGACTGGTGTCAACAGCACAAGAAGAAACCTGAGGAAGTCTTTACACACACAGTATTGTATGTCACAGTTGAGCCCTGTATTATGTGCGCAGCTGCTCTTCGAATGATGAGTATCCTTCTCCAAATGTTTGATCACTTTGTTCATACAGGTTTTGTGTTGAGATTTGCAGGAACTTTGAACATATGAAGAATACAGCTGGACTTGAGCCAAGGCTTAAGTAGTCCAGGTTTCTGTTTCACACCCTAGGGAACCATGGGAAGAAAACCCTCTATGGTGCTGTTCTCCAACTGGGTATTCAGAGTCATGCAATCTCTGAATTTTTATTAGCAAATCTTGATAATCTAGAAAAGAAGGTGATCTGCAAGATCAAGTCTACGTTAGGCAGGGGATGCACTTGTGTCCTATGTGAAATTTTGGAATTTTCATAGGGCAGGAAGATATTAATTTAAACTTCTTTTCTCCAAAATGTCTTGTTTAATTTCTGGTTTTGGTTTATGGGGTATGGGAAGGATAATTCAGCAATATTTTTGCCCTCAATTTATGGGTGGAAGGCATATTTTCTTGGAGCAGGGGAGAATGAGAAATATTTTGCCTGGGGAAGCTACCAGTTTTGTTATAAGATGTCTATGGAGCGGATGAATGTATGTGTTGTAAACTAAAGGAGATTATTATTACATTGTTTTATTCCTTTTAATGTTATTTACTTGTAAACCTCCCAGGGTCATTGGGAATTGGGCGGTACTGCATACAAATGTTAATAATAATGATGATGATAATATTAATGATGATGGAAACCAGAATAACTGGGCTGTCAGTTAAACCAGGATTGTTACTATCTGTATATCACATATCTCTTTATGATTTCTTATTGAACCTAGTTAATGCCTTAACTGATCTGTATAAATCCCACTGGTTGTATATGGTTGCCAAAATGAACGGTTTGGAGGCTGTGGCTCAGTTCTGAATATCTCTTCTGCTACCTTAACAGATACAGGGGAACCATTTCAAGTGAGTACTTTATTATGGTGCCTTTCAATATATTCATAAGAATGTGATATATCAAAGTAGTTAGCAATGAATGCGTTGCTCTAGAACTGGGGCTAAATCAGTGTTTTGGAAGACAGACTGTACACATTATTTCAGGATTAAACCAGCCATTTTCTTTCTTTTCTTTTTTTTAATGGAAATAATTGGCTGGAATGCTGTTCTCTAATACAGCATCCTCTGTATGTTCTCTTGCACTTTGCGGTTGAACAGGGCATAAGTTTTCATAGTTTAATAAAAAATAAGAATTTGGAATAACTGCTAATAATCAAGGTGGATTCAGTGAATGCACCTAGCCATTTAACACCAATGAAATTAAGTTCAAGGTGGAAAATCGTAGGAAGTTTTATATAACAATTGTTTGTTTTTTTGTCTAAATTCAGATAGAAAAAGGAAATTCTTTGTTTAGATAAAACAAAATTGGAAGCAATCGTAGCAATAGAATTGGATTTTTAAAAAGATCCAACATGTAAATGTTCTCTTATTATTTCACCTAGTGATTACATTTTAGATGTGTATTGTGGCAGTTATGAGAAGAAATGTTCGCATTTTAAAAATCTTTGAACATTATGGAAAGCAATCCTTCATTTAACTACATGCTTTTTAAATTTCTTGTTCACTGAGAATATTCTGTTTTATATATTCATGTGTATGCTCATATATTTTAAGAAATTAATATTATCCAAGAATAATCTGTGGGTGGAATTAACTATAGTATAATTAAGTCATTTTGTTGGGTCAAGAAGTCTTGACAACTAGAGAAAACCAATTGATGAAAACAGGTTTTTGGCAGAAATTAATATTCTATGGACCAATTAACCAACAATCCATGGTTATCTTTTCACTTTTCTCTTAAATTCATATTTCTGGGATTTCTTTAACCGCAGTTTCATAGTTCCATGTCTTCGTTTGCATGGATTTCTTAAAACTGATGCTTCCCAGTTTGGACAGGCAACTGTAGTTTCACAAATTCCAGAATTGTTGAGTTAAAGCATTTGGGGTGAGTTGAAAGAAGGAAATGAACTTCACTTATATGTCCACTTAAACAGTTTTATTTCCAATTATAGCTACTTGGGCTCTAAAAAGTGGGCATGGAGATGATAACACTTTTGTGATGTTCATCCTCAGTGCCTCATATACAAAGTTATATAGCTTCTAACCTTTGGTGATTCTCTTCAAATTTTGTGCTAATTATTTCTTGATAAATACCTCTTTTAAGAATTTGTGCCAGTCAAAATGAAGGAAAAAAGAATTGTAAAAATGCCCACCAAATTGTCTGCAGCCCATGAAATATGTCTCTGCTGAAAACAGAAAATCTCTTCTGATAACATCTATACCATCCTCCTACTTTTTTGCCCTGTGCTTTCTTCTTGTGCTGATCATGCATGTGTATGTATACATTCCTCTGCCTTTAAAAGCTACCTGGTAAACAATGTTTAATATGTACTATTTCTTCTCTAAAACTCCAGCATAGCAGCAACAAAAGCGATGTTATTTACGTTATTGAGTTCTTAAAGACAATGAAGTCTTAACTGGAGAATTCTGCTGTTGGTGCACCTTCATTTAGGATGCATTTTTGAGCAACATTTTTAATTTCTATAGTGCATAGCCGGTTATCGATCTGAAGAAGCTGTGGAAATGCTGAAAACCTTCTACAGACAGGAGAATCCAAACGGTAACGTCTGTCATCAGCATTTTAATTCATATAGACATTTATAGATTTGGATATTAGTGACTTCAGTTTTTGTTTTTTGTTTTTGTTTTTTTCCTTTTTGGCAGCACCAAAGTCAAAAGTTCGAAAAAAGGAATTCAGTAAATGATTGGCTGTGATGGAAAGTTAACCGGTCTAGAAGAATAATGAATCCCTGAATGATCTGGACAGTGCTGACCTTTGCTGGACTAAATTATTTAGCCCCAGGAGGTGGAGAATGACGTAACTGTCCCTCTTTAACATGTCATTTATTGTATTCTGGAAGTTAATACAATAAATGTATTAAATTAACAAATACAGTTGTGGATCAAAATGTCTGGTTTTTTTCCCTGATGCCAAACTGGAAAGGTATTATTGAAAGGATAATATTAGTTAAGACTGAACTGTTACAACTATTGATTTTCAACTTGATCAGAGGCTCAACTAATTATAATAGTTCTTGGTTTGCCCCTACAGACGTGTGCTGACTTTCTATTGTCTTGTAAAGTATTTAGATAAGAACTCTGTATACAAACTGTGTAACTTTCCCCCAGCATCCTGTTAAAATGTGCTGTTCACTAAGGTATACAGGCTGAATCAGGCTACCCAGGGCACCCTGCTACTTTGGAAACCCTCTTGGGAACTGGTCCAATTAGTACTAGGACTTTATTAAGTTCTAATACAGTCCAGACATTTAGTCATTTTAGTCCCGCTGAGTCTATTCTAGTGCTAGTAGAGGCTTTCCAGATGTTCCTGTCATTTCCTATGTGTAATTGTTAACTGGAAATACCAAGGATAAGAAGGGGAGCTTCTGCATAAAAACCATGTACTCTTTCACTGAAATATGAATATCTGACAATGTCTAGCTGTACACATGTTTTCTTCATTGCATTACAGGGCAAGGTTAGAACTTCCTAGTGACTTTGGTGTCCAGACCTTTGTAGAAAATGCAGGCAATAGTAAGAAAACTTCATCCTTTATTGTGATGACCGAATTGAAAAACAGGAGTTTGTACTAATGCCTGATCAGTTGCTGCCACGCCTGCTCTTTTCAGATGAAGTCCTGTTGTAGTAGGAATCACCATTAAGGATCAGTTGGTTTAGTTACATTTGAATATGTTTGAGGCAGAAAACTCCTTATAAAATTGAAGGCAAACATGTTCAAGTTAGCAGCGCCTATCCGATTTTGGCTAATGTTGAAAAGCTAAACCGGTCCAGAATAGTTTATTCTTTGGAAATTCCAGAGCTGTTGGCCAGACTGCAAAGTTGAAAAAACATCCCAGAAAAAAGGCAATAGCGAACCACTTCTGTAATGTTGCCAAGAAAATAACATGGGCGTGTCCGTGAAGTCACCAGGAGTCATGTTAGACTTGAGGGAATTTACTGAATGAATTACCAGTGGAGGACTTGGGTACCTGTGTTCGCTTATAGTAATATCTTATTTGTAAGGGCTACTTTTTCTGAACTTATTTGTAGTTGAAATGCTGAAGTTATACTCAAATACTCTAATGTTACCCAATCTTAAATGTTGTCATTTTTGTAGTGACTGCATTAGAAATTAACTATACTGCCAAACTATAATATTTGAAACCTGATTAGGAGAAGAGGCATGCAGAGGAAGGCAGAGATAATATTGGTGAGGGAATACAAAGTTGTCAACAGCACCGTTTGCAAGCTTTCCAATCTTAGTCCTTCTCCCTCTGCTACACAGTTCTCTGAATCTCCTTCCTTGCCAGAAAAATATGTGGAGTTTGTTAATGTCTGGGGAGGAGGCAGCAACTATCTTTTCCCATCATTAAAGTTATGACTTAACTAAGCCAGGACCGCAGATTCCAGCTAGTACATTCTGCATTGTAGGTCCAGGGGGAGATGCCTGGAACATCTGTCGCACCACAACGGCTACCCTGAATCTGAGAAGTCATGGGAGACCATAGCAGATATCCATACCTCATGCCTCATATACATCAGTTCCATCTGAAATTCCCACACAAGCCCTGCCCCTGGGACCTGTCACCACTATCAACAGACAATAAATTCCAGGATAAAGGAAACTTCCTGCTTTCTGCTACGAAATACTCTCCGGATTGGTTGCTGTGCAACAAGAAGAGAATGCAGTAGGGTCTTTTCAGCTCCATCTGATTGTGCAGCAAGATTTGTCTGTTGACCTTGGGAAACCGCTAAGCTTGGGTGGGGGTAATGAGTCTGTAGTCATTTTGCACGGTGACATGCCTGGGACATCTTCACCTGTGAAAGGGAAGCCTGGTTCTGACAGTGGAGATGGTGTTGAGGAAGGTAGAGATAACATGGGTGAAGGCATGCAAGAACCATAAGCAGATAAAAAAGACAGTAAACGACATCTCAGCCCAGGGAAGGGAGGGAGTGTAACAAAGAGACTCAATCCTACCTTGATTCTATATGGTATTAGAAGCAGCAGAAGGAAACTCTGGCAGCTTTCAAAATGTTGCTGTTATACTCTACAACAATAGAGTTCCAGTAGTCCTTGCAGTGTCTGTTTCCTGACCTGGCCTACATCAAAGGGTTGACAGGCAACAAGGAAAAGCAAAGCCAAGGTTTCAGAACAGACACTTGAGAACTTTCTTGGATTGTTTTTAGATGTATTATGAGGCAGGTCCAGAAGAGGGCCTCTGTGTTCCAGTAATGAATAGTTCAGGAAGATTGGAAGGGAAGTCTTGTTCTCCCAAAATGTGCTTGCTGAGCAAATAAATAATTTGGGCAATAATTAAGCACTTGCCTGTGCCTCCTGGATTTTAATATTATGGGCTGTATGAACCAGCTTTTTATCAGTATTTTGTTGTTACATTAATTCAAGGAATTGAGAACAGTATTTCTAATTCCTGTCATCCCTCTCCCACCTTGGCTTTCTTTGATGTAGCAATTTCACACTGCATGTGGAGAGAAGGAAAACACGTTGGTAGCTTTTAAGCAGCTGTTCTAGGACTTTGGTTCTCAACATTTAAGCTTAGAATTATCTCCCACTGACTTCAAATGCACCAGTGTTGAGAGGGCTGAAGCAGGTGATGGGAGACACCAGATCTGAGAGCTGTTCTCTCGCCCCCAGCTCCATTCCTGTGAACTAGGGGAAGGGATAGAGCATTATTGCCAGGAGTCTGAAATGATTCAAAAGGTTTTTGAAACTACACTCACAATTGGTCCAAGAGCCACCATGTACGGTTCTAGATAGATAGGTTTCCCACACTGAAGTAAGGATCTTTAATAAGCATGTTTATTTAGCCATAGGCTATAAGTTTTCTTGGCTAGGAGCATATCTCATTATGGTCTATATGGTATCCAGAACCCCTTTGTGTGATTGAACTAATAGCAACAGGATAGAATGGCATTTCTATTGCTTTTGTAGCATAATCCTGTTCAAATCTACTCAAAAGCAGACTCTTTTTAGTGAAATGGAATTTATTCTCAGGTTGGTGAATATGTTATAGGTTTGCAAACCGTACAGGATTGCAGACTGATAGGGATTATTTTTAAATTGATTTGAGTCACAATATGATGCCCATATTTACTATTGGGCAGACCAGGCCACAAACCTTAGTCATAGTAGGCCTGTAAAGTTATTCTTACTCATAAGAATTATTTTGAAAAAAATCTTTCAGCATAGTCCTATCCGAGTTTATCTGGTAGTAATTTTTACCTAGTGTTGATGTGCATCTGTGGATGTTGACACAGAATTAGGTGCCACAGGGTTCAAGAGGACTTATCCCCTGAGAAACATATGTATGATTGCAGCCGTAGGTTTAAATTTTATGAAATGGATTTTAAAACCATATTTATGGAAAGGTAATCCCACTGGTCCCTCTTTATACATAGCAATACCTGGGAATGGCTGTACTTTTTTTCAAATACAATCTATCCTAAAGTAAGCATGGTTATGGAATTAACTAAAAAGAAAAGAAACACAGCTGGGATTGACTGATACAGTCATGTGATGCAAGCTTGGACTGGCTGGGGTCAGAATAGCTCCTATGCATACTTGCCTAAGCCTTCCAGGAACTCTTCTGGGTGTGCCCCCCCCCCCCCGCCCTTCAGTGAAACTGAGTGGGTGCAAGGCAGAGACCTAAGCAAATACGCCTCGCTTGAACAAGGCCCTCCCTGAATGCTCTGGTGGTGTCTCTTAGATGCCAGATCACGTCATTTTCTTTTCCCCAGGATTTGGGAGTTTAAACTCATTTAATTTGTAACCATATCATATTTTTTTTCGTTTGATTGTTTTATTGCATGGATTATAATTTGCTCTGATAGTGGGCATGCTATAAATATTTTAACAGATAAATCACGTTGATGTTTCTCAGCTGCTCCCTCATTCAAAGCTGTGTTATAAATGATATATTGATTAACATGAGTCAGAAAACAAATAATTTTGCTGGAATCTATAATCCTAGGAACATGCCTAAATATTCCCGTGAGGGCTTTATATGTTCATACTTCTGGAAAAAAAGAACATCATTCCATATGTCTGAGTAGTTGCTGGAGCTTTATGTATACTGTTCAGTTAGAAAAGCAGCAGTAATGTCACTCAGCACTTTTGGTGGGAAGGGAAGAAGGAGGGAAATGAAATTCACCTCCCTGCTTCCTCCACTTAAACAGCTGAACCTGATATTCGAAATGTGCTTTCCGCACATAGTTTTGGCAGAATGGTTAGGTGGAGAAAATACCTATATAATGTGCAAGCTGGATAAGGGGAAAATCTCTTAACGGGAGGGGAAAAGCTGTAATCATGATGCTGCTACAGACCAAGATTTCCTTAGCAACAAACTTCTGCAAAAATAAACATTTGGCTGCTGGGTTTGGTATTGGTAGCCAGTGTGACGTAGTGGATAGAGGAACATTGGACTAATTCCCTGCCCTAAAATTACAACTGCCAGACTGAAATGTCTGCGATCAGGCCATCTATGCTAAATTAGGGTTTGTTGCATAAATATAAAAGGGTCAAGAACTGCCAAAGGCTTTCTCTGGCACCCTAGAATTTATTGTTAAGCATCTAACAGAGCCTCAAGAGGCTTTCTATGATCTGAGAAGATGTAAAACACTCATCTGAGAGGAAATATGTTTCCTGTGTTTCCATAGAGACGTTGGATGTTTTTCAGGGCTGTGCTCCTCCCTCTCCCCCCCCCTTCCTTAAAATATGTGATTAAATATATGTGAGAGCAAATTCTGGCTTGCATCTCTGCAGATCTGACTGTTTGGATTCTTAAGATGGAATCTTCTTGCACCAGGGAGGATCTGAGTGTTAGTCCATGAGGATGTAGCTTTTCTCCACTGCTTTCTGGCTCAGC